CCCTCGGGCCCGCCCCGGCACCGGACCGGGGACCGGCAACGGGACCGCAACCCTCGATGTTGCTCCCGCGCCTCACTCAGCCAGTGAGCGGGAACCGGTCTGTATGTGGGATCCGAACCCTCGGGCGGGAGCGCCGCCGCGCTTCCCAAGCGGCGCACCTATCCAGTGCGCCACCGGGCCGGCCCCTAATGGAAAAAATTTTACATCGTTATACTTTGCAAGAGTCTAGTTTTGGGATTTAAGACCTAAGATCACTTTTTAATTTTCTATCATTGTTTTAAAATAGGAGTATCCTTTCTATAGCCAAAGTATATATCAGTTTATATCAATAACCTTATTCTGTGGAACAAAATTTTTGTTAGTGTTAACTATTGTGATGAGAATTTTTCTTCTTAAAGCATATTAACTATTTTTGTGAATGTTACCTTTTCTTTGAAATACCAGGGAGAATATGTCGCTGCAGTCCGGGACTTTTACTTATCTGTTTATTTTTTCAAAAAGAAAACAACATCAAGGTAGGAATAGCTTTTTGTTAGTTTTATATTATTTACTCAAGGGTTTGTTATAATTTTATTTCATCCACATACCTATGACCAAAAGTTATTTCTAGTTTTATTTTATGATGGATTTTGAGACAATGAGGTACAGAGGTGTAGTTTTTAGCCCACAGTGGATAGTTTGGGGAACCGTTAGTCATAAAAACCTAAGGAGCTTTTTCCAGCCCAAATCCTATACACCTAGGTTCTGGTCTGCATATTTGGTGTCATAATTGAATGTAGTTTGAAAAGCCTTTACCAGGCTGATTCTCATTGCCATTTTATGGCAATAGGAATGAATGTAGGCTTTGGGATACCTGAGTTTAAAATGAGTCAAGTTTTTTCCATTTGAACACTGATGCGCTTCAAATTAACATATTTAAAATGGAAATAATATCTACCTATTAAAGTTGTAAGGTTGAATAACATATCCATATTTAGAGAGACTTGCTAAGCGTTGAGTGGTCACTTTTCAAGTGACATTGTCCCCTCTTCGCTTCTACCTTCAGTGGAATACTGTTCCATAATAAAAAGGAACTAATAATACACATGAGGATTAACATTTGTTTTCTTTGCAGAATACAAACCTGACTTCTTCAGAGCCAGAAGATTGACAATATTCAGCCTAAGAATAGGAAATATCCTAGATATTGTAACATCTTTGGATTTGTCTCTTTAGACACATTAGCCGGTTGTCTTGGATATAATTTCTTTGGCTTGTCCATACCTCATGTTTAAACTTAGGCTCAGTGAGAAATTTAAACAAGCTTTGGTGGAGGCAAAAAAAGGCCACTAAAAGGATTGTCTTTTCTTTACTTTATGGTAGAATATTATTCACATGAGGTTTATATTGTAAATTAATATATGTTTATAAAACAGAAGGCTTGATGGTTGATCAAAACTTTCTTTTAAAAAAAATCATGCATTTTTGTTCATTGAATTCTGACAGCTCTCCAATTTTGTTTAAGGTTGGGAATTCCCTTTTACTTAACTATATTACTATTTAGCAAGAGACTTTAATAATCAAGAGAAAAAATTTTTTCCTAGGTTTACTTTATCATCATCAAGAAACAAGAAACATGCTAAGAACAGTTTTACCTGTGTAGCATGTCATCCAAAGGAGGACTGCATAGCATCTGGTCACATGGATGGCAAAATTCGTCTTTGGTCAGTTAACTCATGAAGAGTGTGGTGATCACTTATAGGCTACTTTATATTAGTCCTGTAGAATAGGGTTATCTCTAGCTTCAGGAAAAAGGACAGTACTGGAGATTAAGCTTTTCTAACAATCCTCCTTCCCCCCCCCTTTTCTTTTCTTTTTATCATGCTCTTCATTTCATACTTACTGTTTTAAGGTTTCTAACCTTGGGCTTTGTAGGGGGAGTGAACAACTTCATGTTGCCTGTATCATTTGAAGTGAACTTTTTGCCACCCTTTAACGAAAAAGGAAAGAGTGACATTAGAGAATATCTAGTAGGGCATATTGTTGATGGAAGTGATGGGTTAGAAACTTTTTATATTAAGACCAATAAGCTTGATGTTGTGATTGGTTATGTTTGGTATATATTCCGTTTATTATACTTGGCATGGCATTATTTTCCTTACATCTATGGTCAAATGAAGATTTTTTTTTTTTCTTTAATAGGAGGAATTTTGACAATAATAAGAAATACACGTACACGTGTTTACATTGGCACCATGATATGGTTATGGATTTGGCTTTTTCAGTAACAGGTAAGTGCACATTTAATAATTAAATTGAAACTTTGAAGTATATGAATCAGTTGTTTTATTTTTATTTTATTATTTTTTTTAATTCTGAGCATCATTTTATTCGTCCCTTCATACAATGACAATGAATATATTTGACAATGAGAAGACATTTGGAATGATTAGGAAAGAGTAAAACCATACATTGTTCACATTAATTTTTTTCGTCGAGTTCCTCTAATTTTCCTTTCTTCCTCATTTCATGGAGACATTTTTTCTTTTTCTTTTTATTTAAATATTTATTTTTTTATTTTTTTATTTTTTTATTTTTTACTTTCTAAGATGGTGTGGAGCATTTGGCGGGGGGAGGGAGAGGAGTAAAGATGGGAAGAGAAATGAGGGGTGAGGCGTGGCCCATGGCATCCCCTTATTCCAGCAGGAGACCCCAAGGTTGGGCTTCCAGTGGCCACTCAGTGGTCATTGCTGGGCTGAGTGTGGTCGTCAGGGGGGCATGGCTGAGGCCCTTGGCCTCCCACAGCGGTGGCTTGGTGGTCATATCTGGGCTGGTTGCAGACCTCAGCTGTGGGGACATGACTGAGGCCCTCAGCCCCCCACTGCCCCAGTTTAGTAGCCTGGGGTGTTTCCAGTGGCAGGTCAGTAGTTGTCACTGGGCTGGTTGCAGGTGTTGGGGAGGTACAGCTGAGGCCCTCAGCCCTCCCCTCACCCTGGCTTGGGAGCCCAGGAGGCTTCTGGTCCGTCTAGATTTTATAGGCGTTCTTTGGTGGTGGTAGACCTTTACTGGTTAATATCAGAACTTTGATCTATTGGTTTTTTGTTTTTCAGTTCTGTGTTGGATTATTAGCTACCCCCACCACTTAAACTCTGCACTGGAACTAATTTGTTGTCTCTTGGTTACTTGTAAAAAGGGGGAACTTCCTGTGAACTGGCACTTGAGCCTATGGTCGAGCTAAATTGCTGCTTTGCTGATTCCCTAGGGAAGGCTTTTTGTGCAGATCAGGTTTTAATTGTTGACTTGTAAGCACTTCTGGGTCTTGTGAGGTCTGGTACATCTGGGTTGTGTGGAAACTCTGGCCTGGGCCTGAGTCTTTTCAGCAAACTGCACCCCCTACAGTTCTATATTCCTGACCAGTCTCTCACTGAGTGGTTCTGCACTAATTGGAGGCCAGATCAGCTGTCCACACTATGCCCCAGTGTTCCCCCAGTGGGACCTTCTCCCCCACCACCTGCACTCCAAACACTTCCCACGGGACGGGTCATGCTCCAGTCCCTTGTGATGACTCACCAGTCTCTGAGTGGCTCCTTTTTTCTGTTGCCTGTGGCTTCTCGCTCCTGTGTGGGTCCACGGGAACCCTGTTAGTTGTCTAGCTGGCCTGGGGGCAACCAAGGCCCTCTGCTCCCCTGCAGTCTCCAAGCAACTTTATAGGAAGGGCACAGCTGCGGCTTTTGTAGCTCTTGCTCTGTGTGCTCCCCAGGGCCAGCCCTTGAAGTGGCCAGAGCTTGAAACGGCCAGAGCAGTCCTTTCTTTCTCTCACTGTGGCTTCTCCTGCCTTCATGAATTCTATAGATCTTCTTTCTTCTTCCCTTGAGCTCTAGCAGCCCCAGCTTGTCAGTCGTTGCTTTCTAATAGTTGTAAATTGGTTGATTGTGGGAGAGGGTGAAGCTGGGTACCATCTATTCTGCGATCTTGACTGGAAGCAAGTCCAGAATCAGTTGTTTTAATTCACTGTATTCATAGTTTGAAAGATTTAGAATTGCATGGACCAAATGAATTTTATTTATCACTCCTGTGTTTTGGTCTTTCCTTAACACAATTCCATATACTTTAGGTTCCAAACCTAAAACTTTGGACCTTCAAAGTTCCAAAGTGTACATTTGTGATAAAGTCTCTTATTGACATAAATAACCTATTTAAATTACATTCCATTTTTAAATTTAATTTGTTTTTTACAACCAGCCAGTACAGGGATCCAAACCCTTGACCTTGGTGTTGTAATACCGCACTCAAACCAGCAGAGCTAACCAATCTGTATTCCTTTTTTTTTTTTTTTAATGTGTCTACATAGTTCAGTGCTTGTGGTTCATAACTGTAACTACAGTTTATCAGGTGCAAATAAGTATGCTAGTGCTTTACATTCGTTGTCTGACTTAATCCTTGACCCTAAGAAATAGGTATTATTATTCTCATTTTACAGATGAAGGAAAAAAAGTTTGGAGTTGATAACTAACTTGCCCAAGGACATGGCTAGTAAGAGGAATTTGGACCTAGGTCTGATTTTAAAGCTCATGTTTTTAACTGTAAGATTGCCTCATTCAGCAGTCACTATTTTAAATTAATTCAGACGTTTGTTCCATTTAAGCTGCATGAGAGTGTCTGTAGTGAGTAAAAATACGTCCTTGAAAATAAAGTGGTCTTCAACAGAAACATGGAGACGTATATTTTGTCTTTGGTTACTTTTAGCATCCTCACGCCCATGTGGTGAAAGTTATGTTGGTATATTGTGACTGCTCTTGTAAAAAGCTTACTAGACAGATACTAGAGAAGATTTTGTGCCTGAAAAACAAGAAGGCAGGAAAAGTGATTTTTTTCTTTTCATATGTCTTCCTAGAAACTGACAGGACAATTCTTAGATGGTACCTTGTGATCTGAATCCTTAGAGGGTTACTTGGGTTTAACACCCTGGAGCCCCAGCAAATAAGAGGCATCTCCAGCCTACTTATGCTTTGGGTTTGGATTCACAAAAAATTGGAAAATGGTTATTTCGTGGGATGCTTCTTGTAAAACAATATAAAACAGTTTCCTAAGCAATCTCTGTTCATTGGTCATGGAGATTCTCTTACAGGTGTTTTTTGTTTGTTTGTTTTTTAGCTGTTAAATTTAAATTTAAATGGCTACATGTGGCTGGTAGGTGACATTGGACAATGCCACTATAGATCAATTTAAAGAGAATTGATATTCTTTATGGTATTGACTATTTTAGTCTGTAATCATAATAAATATCTGTTTTTAAAGTCTGACTTATCTCAGTGACGTAGGATATAAGGGGTCCTCATATATCTTTCACTAGATTTATTCCTGGGTATTTGATGGTTTTTTTATGCTGTTAGTATTTTTTTCATTTCATATTCAATCTAATTGGCTTGCTAGTATTTAAAAATAAAATTGAGTTTTGCATATGTCTCTTATGTTCAGCTACCTAGCTAAATTCACTTATTCTGAAAGTTTATCTCTACACTCTTGGCTGTGCCTTGATGCAGTCATGCTGTCTGTGAACACTAAAGTAATTATTTCCTTTTTTCCAATTCTTGTCTTCCTTGTTTCATTTCAGTGCACTAGGATATCCAGCTAATGTTGAATAAAAATAATAACAGTGTTCTTAATCACAGGAGAAAAGTTTTCAGTATTTTACTATTTAGTATGATGTTTGCTGTAGATTTTTTCTAGGTATCCTTGATGATATTTAAAAGGTTCCATCAATTCCTGGGTTGCTGAGTTTTTATCATGAACGGGTGTAGATTTCTATCATTTACTTTTTCTGCATCTTCACACAATCACAGTTTTTCCCTTTATTCTGTAAATGGAGTTAATTACATTGATTTATTTTTCAAATGTTAAAATACTATCTCATTCCTGCAATAAATTCTGCAATGACATGTTATCCTTTTAATATATCATTGGGTATAGTTTGCTAGTATTTTGTTTGGGAATTTCATCTGCATGAAATGGGGTTGTAATTTTCTTTTCTTATAATGTCCTAGTTTTGGTATAGTATTACAGTGGTCTTGTGAAACAAATTGGAAAGTGTTCTTTCTTTTTTTGGTTACGTGAGAGAGTATAAAATTGATTTATTTCTTCCTTAAATGTTTGGAAAAATTTATCAATGAAGCCATCTGGGCCTACAGGATGTTTTTGTCCAGCTTTTCTAGTATGTTGGCAGAGGAGTTGGTCAACAGCTAGTCAGATATCACTGGAAAGGAAAATTTCTGAACCAGTGATCTTTAAATTATTTGTCTCAAGAGTATGTTAAAGGACAAAGATACTTGCTTATAAATTTGTAAAAAGAGTTTATTTCTTTAATATTGTAGGAAAAATAAAAGTGTTAATTATATTTTTTTCTCCCTATTTGTTTTCCCCAAAACACTGTCTTTTTAATTTCTTTGGATGGATATGAAGGCACCAGCCTGCTGAGTGGCGGTCATGAATCTGTACTTGTAGAGTGGCGTGATGCAACCGAGAAAAATAAGGAGTTTCTCCCCCGTTTAGGAGCTACTATTGAACATATCTCAGTCTCACCTGCAGGAGATTTGTTCTGTACATCTCACTCTGATAATAGTAAGTCTGCACTTTTTACTGTGAAGAAATGTAATTTGTATAATACCGTAAATCAGCTAACATCTGTAGGGAATGGAAAACGAAGAGACCTAAAACTAATTAAGAGTAGTATAAGATTTAATGGGCCCTTTTTTCTCCCATTCCTCCTCTTTTCTCCACCCCTCTCTACCCCTAGATGCCACTGGAACCCAACATTTTCAGAATTATTTTTATGAGAATGGAGGACTAGGTGTATATGATTATAGTTGTGCAACTTATATTTTCAAAACCTTTTAATGTGGGATGATGTAGGGAAATAACAGAAGGGTTCCGAAGTGGGCATTGGTGCTTTCATAACTAGGGGAAATAATGATAGGGTTCTGAAGTGGCCATTGGTGCTTTCATAAATATAAGGGCATTTTCAAAAGAATACTTTTTTGGGAAAAAAAGTTTTCTTTTTAAAAAAGTGTTCTTTTTTGAAATAGCCCATTGTTTCCTTTCCCTTCAGAAAAGAGCATATTGTGCGCAGTCTATTAGTGGCATGACTTACTTCAAAGTTAAACTATCTTTTAGATATACTTAACATATATATACATACATATGTATATATACATATGTATGTATGTATAGTTTCTGAGTTGATGCTTAAAAGGTATTCATAGGCACAACTGATAAACCTTAGGAGCTCCAACAGAAAAGTCCCCATTCCCAGCCCTAGTTTTTTACCTAAATCACAAGGTATATCCCTGATTTTTCAGTAATACTTCAAGTTGATTGAACTTACTGGGTTGTTTTGTATTCTTGCATATTTCAGGGTGGTATAAATTCAGGTGACTTCTTCACTTTGAAGTTCTCTCCTGTTTATGTTTAAATATTTATTTTTTACCCACAGAGATAATAGTTATTCACCGAAACCTTGAGGCATCTGCAGTAATTCAAGGCCTAGTGAAAGGTATCAGAGAACCCTGTGGATTTGGAATTATGTACATTTTAGGAGTGAATATTTCTCTGATTTCAACTATTGTTTATCACTTCTTTTGCAGATAGGAGTATCTTTACTGGTTTGATGATTGATCCAAGAACTAAAGCTTTGGTTTTGAATGGAAAACCTGGCCACCTGCAGTTTTATTCTCTCCAGAGTGATAAGCAGCTATACAATGTAAGATATAGATCCATTAACTAGCCTTAAAACTAATGAAAGTTCTTTACATTACTGCTGGGGTCAAGTAATTTATTGGTAGTTTCTAAAGCAAGATCCTGTGCCTATGTTTAATTGAACATAGTATTATCTATGGTTACTTAATTCATTTAGAGCATAATTCTAATGAGGCCATAGTTGCAGATTACACGTAAGCCAGTTGGCAGACTCACACTTGCTCTCTCTATTTTTTGTTTCAAAACACACCCCAATTAGCTGTCCCACACATCTGTGCACTTGAGTGACAAGGATAAGGAAATGAGAATATGTGGAGTGACAGTATGAATCTGTATCTTTGTGGTGAAACAGTATTCACATGTTGAAAATTAAAATTTTAGTGTATAATAAAGAGGAATACTTCCTATAATCCTGATAAATACAATCCAGACTTCTCACTTTTTCCTGTGCCCCACAGGACTATAGATTTCTATCATAGCAACTGTAACATTTTATCTCTTTCTCTCCATGGCCTTCAAATCCTTCAAAGAAAAGAAGCTTATCAGTACCCTTACATCTAGTTCAATGCCTGGAAATAGTAGACACTTTAATAGTAAGTACTGTATTTGCTTAGTAAATAGGCAGGGAAATGGAATTTTAAAAACCAAATAAAATAAAATGCCATCCCACTTACAGCATCGCTTATCTTTCCTTCTTAAAGACTCTAGGTTTTTTTCTGCTCTTTGTAGTGACATAGAATCTGTCTTGAGATTTTATATAAAGCTATTTGTTCTTAGAAACAAGAGAAAAACACCACTGTAAGTTAAAGGTTTTGCTGTATAATATAATGGGTCTGATTTATTGCTCACATTTAAGGTCATTGAAGAATAATCACCAGATTGATACTGTATAATGTGTTTTCTTTTTTAATGTCCAATTTTGATGTTCATAGTAACGATTAATTTATTTTTCCCTTTATCTACAAATCTATTATTATAGATTCTAGAAGTGTTGGATGTAATTATCATTTCTTGAATGCTTTAACATTTATGTATTTACATTAATGAGTACTTTGGTTTGTTTTTTTAACCCATCAGTTAGATATTATACAGCAAGAATATATTAATGATCATGGTCTGATACAAATTGAACTAACAAAGGCTGCATTTGACTGCTATGGTAACTGGCTTGCAACGGTGGAACAACGGCAAGAAAAGGAAACTGAGCTTGAATTACAAATGAAACTGTGGACATTTAATAAGAAGACACAAAGGTATACTACCTTTATAGCCACTTCTTAACTTCAGAGTATAAGATATTTTACTTCCTATTTTATGGTTTTGTTGGTCTTTAAAATGTTTTATTTTGATAAGTTTTAGATTTAGAAATATGGGGGAGGTGTTATTCTGAAAAGTGTTTAATTAAGCTATCTGCTCATTGGTGTCTTCTAAGTCATAATGTCATCTCATTGGATAAATGAAGAAACTTGGGAAAGTGACACCGCGAGGACATAATCCTTAATTCCAGGCAGATCAGGGATTAGAATCCAAGTGTTCCCTTGCTCTTACATTAATGTCATACAGCCTTCTTTGGAGAACTGGGAGTGTAGGCAGAGTTGTAGTGTAGTGTAGCATGTATGTTGTAATTAGATAAGGAGCACAAGCGTTTCTTGTACCATGGCTATAATAACCATTTATCAAGTCCTTGCTGTGTGCAAGAACTAGACTTAGTGCTTTTATACCCATTGTCTTATTAATCTTCAAAAGAATATTTTAAGATAAGCCGTACATTTTACATGTATGGTACCAGGCCCAGAGAGATTAAGTGATTGTTCTTAGTCACCACTCTTGTAACCTGTGCTTTTTAAAAATCACAACACTGTGCTGCCCTGCTGTTCTTTTAAGGACACAGTTCTAGCGTAGATCCTCTTTCATTCACAGTACTGCCCTTTTAAGATAGAAACAAGCTTTAGAGGTATTTGGGGACCTGAAAATGCCATTATAGTTATGAAAGCACCAATGCCCACTTCGGAACCCTTCTGTTATTTCCCTACATCATCCCACATTAAAAGGTTTTGAAAATATAAGTTGCACAACTATAATCATATACACCTAGTCCTCCATTCCAATTTCTGCCTTCTCCAAAGGTAGCCCATAGGTCAGTGGGGCAAGAAGTTAACCAAAATGCTGAAAACCTAAAAATTCCGAGTGCCTGAACTATGTGCCAACATTTAAT